GCTGGGGATCCTTCAGTGAGAGAGAACTCAGTGAAGGAGATCCGTAGAATTAGTACATAACTAATTATAATACAGGAAAAAATCGCTCCCAATTTGGAGTTAATATTGAGGGTGTACAGCTTTAAAGGGAAGAGGAGAGACCGAAGTGTTATTTACGCATAGGAAATTTCTTGCAGGAAGGAGGAGCGCCCGGCGAAGCCGGGCCCGACTGGTCCTACCACAATTCGCTAAGTGTGTCTGTTGGTTTGTCGGTGTGTGTGTCCGACCGGAAATTCATAATTTCTGTTCGAGTAGACCTTGACCTTGGCAGGTGTCAGGACCGGACTGCACCCACAAAGGGCGGGGCGTGCACGACAGAAACTTTAGGTCGCAAATACATAGCTGCTGTTTACGTGGACCTAGAGGGTTGAAATTTGGTAAGGGTACAGGAGGCAAGACGGGAACACTTATGGTAGGTAGCAGAGCCAGACTCAGCCTACAGGTAGCGGAGCGTACGCGAAAATAAGTGATGTAGGATATGACATAAGTGCTAGATGAAAAAAATCGATAATAACTGATAAGAGAAGATAAGTGACCTAAGAGAGGCCACCTACCGATCGAAATCCTAACGTCTCCGGTATTCAAATGTTTGATCGTTCAGTATGTTTCATTCGATGAGACGGGATGGTAGAGCAGGGTGACAGCCGGGCGGACCGACTGGTGGTAAAATAACTCAAATGTACATTTTTGACACCTTAATTCATTGTTCAGGCCAGCTCATCCATACATTGATGACTTCGAGGAACGGAACGCTTGGATCCAGAAGAGCTTGTTCAAACAGTACTGTAGTAAAGTGTTTAGCTCCACATTGACTGCGCTCCTCGAGCTGATGCCGTATTCATTCGATTCGATAATCAACCAGAAGATGCCTGGGCTATCGACCAGATCTTTGTGGATGCAAGCTATCGATTAGGACCTACAGAGGAGCACGAGTTGGTGTTCAGCATTTTTCAGTCCCGTTTTGTTCGAGAATACGGTAAAGTCGGTGTTAGACCATACTTTGACAAAACAGAGTTGAGAATTATCATGCTAGACAGTAGGTAGTGAAGTAGAGTAAAGTGAAATAACTGTAGCGAATGTTTCGGTGTTCACAGGGTCCTGATTCCGAAGTAGTTTTATGGATATTCATTGTCAAGGGGATGTAGACGCGATGAAAATTATTGACGAATTTCAGGCAGAAGTGGCACTTCGAACATCCCGTCCTGGTCCCCTGTTCGTCATGGTTGGACGATACCGTCACCTATCAAATAGGTCCCAGAAATGGGCTTTTCATTAGCCATAATTATCGCTACAATGCTGAGCCGGGTGACTGGATTCGAGATTGGGTGTAACCGCTGTGGAAGAAATGGGGCTCGGCTAGAGAAGTATTTGCTGCTCTTCTAGTTTCCAGTCAAACACAAAATCAAATAAATTATTTCAATGTTGTGGATTTTTTAATGTTTGTACTTGATTATTTGAATAGCATGTTTCAAAATGGCTGACTACTAGCGGGTCTCCTAAAATGCAGCTTACACTTAAGCTGCTCGAGACATCTGCCTTCACAGCTGACCATCAGAATCTTTCGGAATTGGAGCTTTATTACGGTTCTTTGCGATAACTCTTTAGCCAACTAAAGGTCTCTTTTCCGCGGGTCACCGGTCGTTCCCAAAGACGTTTCGTCCTTCTCGCCTTTACCTCGAGTCATAATCACAGTACTTTACAGTAATGGTGCGGAAAGTTGGATTTTCTCCATCCATTTCGTAGCACTTCGTTCCTTTCGTGGAGCCCTCAGCACTTGGCTTATGCTGCCTATTTCAATTAGCTACAGATGTAATCTGTGAGGCCTGCCCAACAAAATTTCAAGCGCTATCGTCGGTACGTACGAAGATTACATGGCAGTGGCTTTTAAGATTGGATGAATATATAGCTTCTTCAGCGCTTGGAGCTATTTTATAAAATGAAGACCAAACTTTGCAGAAGCAAATATTGGGTAATAAGGCTATCTAAAAGTTGTTAGGGCAAAGCTTTGTTAACTGCTGTTATAGCGTCGCAGTACGTGATCCGTAAGTCTGACAAGGCTGCCGACTTGTGAACAAAACTTTGGGCTCGGATAGCACTCGAACCCGTGTTAGCCGGCACTGTGCTCCTTTCTTTCTTACATTACCAAAACCTCGCTCGTCTTTGATACAGACAAACCACAATGCCCATTGCTCTGTTTATCTGTTTGTCGGGCTGTTTGTGGCAATATCGTTGCAAAGAATACGAAATCTATTCTTCTACAAATTCTACATGCAATTCGTGATGAAAGTGACGTAGGCGGTGTTGCAGACCATGAGAATTTCCATGCCAGTCAAGTAATCGCACCTGATAAATTGAAAGAAGTTTTTAGAGGACTCACTCTGAAACAAAAACATGTTTCTGCTTCGATTTTTTGAATGAAACGTATGGATACGTGCTTTTTGAGTAGAATTTTGGAATTAATGCATTGACTTTTCAGAAACAACGCGCATTCAGCTTCGATAATGCTCGCGAGACATGGGACACTGAAGGCATCATTGAAATTCGTGTATAAAAGCAAAATTTCATGCACGAATTTATGTACAAATTTTTTTTGAAGCTTATGCCACATACGTTGTTCGCTTTCTTCTGCCGTTCGAGGTTTTTTGGTGGAATGTGAAAATATTTGCAAAACGTTTCGATATAATCGTTGTCTTCAGATGCCAGGCTCCAGCGGATGGAATCCGCTTTGACGGTGCAGCCTGGCCTCTGAAGACGAATATTACGTCGAAACGTTAGGCCGTTAATTTATAATAATAAAGTGTTTCGCCTTGAACAGCAGAAGAATTCTAACAAAGCAAAAGACAATGCCGAGGCTAAAACAATAGAGAAGTTGGAGATTATTCACATGTCATATATTTTTTTTATAATGCTACAGCAGTATAAAAAGTATGTGACAGCTCCTACACCCATGCAATCATGGAAAGCCTATTTTGTGCTTCCGTTGTTACGACAGTTATCGGGAACTGCTCTTGGCAGTATTTTTCACCGTAAACATCCAGATAAACTATCTCTTCGGCGGAGGGGGTTTAGTGGCAAGTGGCGCATATCTGAAAAGCATGATCACGGGTTCGAATGCCGGACCAAACTTTTCATGCCTGTGGGGTCCGTTAATTGTTACCAGACTTGCCTGGGAGGATAGAAGCACCAACCCATACATCGGCTAGCCACCGCAAGTCATTGCATAGAACACATACGCATTTAATACACTGCAACTATTTTAAATGGAAGTCGATTGCGAAGGCACACCTCGGCTATTCCAAAGAGTCAAGCAAAGGAATAGCAGGCTTTGTAGAGCTGAATGAAGAATCTTTCAAGGCTCTTCAGGTAATTCCACCGCCGAAAGACAATGGAACCGGGAAAGAACACTTGCATGTTTTCATGGCTATCGATTTCAAACAAAATGATTCGGAGACAGAGTTCAGTGAGAAATTGCCTTACAAATTTATACAACTGCATTTACTTCAAATTAAAAATCATGGTTCCGGGCACGGAACAGTCGAAGATTTGCAGGCTTTGAAACATAATGATCATTTCGATTACGAACCCAGAATTTTCGACGGCAACTGCTCCACGGTATAGCACAAGCTGGGCTCAAACTCACGCACTACCTTAAAAATTTTGTTGTGCAACAGAATTGTTGTGTGGAATTTTGAATAATTCGAATGAACTTTTTTGACATTGTAATACATTGTTCTGACCAGTTCATACATTTGTACTAGGAAAGAAATGCTTTGCTTCAGAAGAGCTCAATCAAACAGTACTATAATGATGTGTTCAGCGCCACACTGACTGCACTCCCCGAGCTGATGCCGTATTCGTTTGAATTCATAAGAAGTACCTGGGCTATCGACCAGCCAGACCTTTGTGGGTACCAGCTATCGATTAGGACCCATAGAAGAGCATGAGTTGGTGTTTAGTCTTTTCAGTCCCTTTCTGTTTGAGAATTCGGTTAAGTCGGTGTTAGATTAAACTTGGACCAAACAGAGTTGAGAATTATGATGCTAGACAGTGGGTAATGAAGCAAGGTAAAGTGAAAAAAACTGTGGCGGATGCTCCGGTGTTTAAGGGGGCCTGATTCCGATGTAGTTTTATGGATTTTCAGTGTTAAGGGGATGTAGACGTGATGAAAACGTTGACGAATTTTAGGCAAAAGTGGTACTTCGAACATCCCAGCTTAGTGCCCTGTTCGCCATTGTTGGAAGCTACGGTCACTTATCAAATAGGCCACAGGAATGGGCTTTCTATGGTCATAATTATCGCTACAATGATGAGCTGGGTGATTGGGTTCGAGATTGGGTGTGGACGCCGTGCAGAACCGGTTAGGCCCACGAAGGATTAGCTGCTCTTTTAGTTTCTATTCAAACACAAAATTGTGAAGCAAGTAGAAAAATAAAGTATTTTATTGTTCTGAATTTTAAAATGTTTGTGTTAGATTATTTTGATGTGATTTCCCACAGGAACAGTGGTAACAAGGTTTTTGCTGATTTCTAGCCTATTTCCACGAGTGCAGCTTGTTCAAATGTGCCCGAGCTGCTCAAGACATCCGTACTCATCATATTCTATCAGGAACTTTCAAATTTTTATTCTGTTACGGTCTCTAATGCGACGACCCTTTCGCCAACTACAGATTTCTTCACCGGTTGCCAACGATCGTTCCTGCATACCTTTAAATTTTCTTGCCCCTAACTAGAGTCATAATCAGGGGTACCTCACAGAAATGGTTAGCTTTTCTCCATCCATTCCGCCGCATTTCGTTCCTCTCGTGGAGCCCTTAGCACTTGGCTTATTCTGCTTATTTTAATTAGCTATAGTTGTGATCTGAGAAGCCCGCTGTACAAAATTCCGAGTGCGCTCTCCACGGTGCGTATGAAGGCTTTAGACCAGTGCCTTCTAACTTTGAATGAATTTATAGCTCCTTCTTCTCTTGGAGTCTTTCTATTAAGTTTGGATCGGACCTGAAACTCTTGTAGAACCCGATAATGTCTCTCTACGAGTAGTGAATCGAGAGAAGCTCGATAGCTGCTATGTTTACGCGAGCCGTTAGTCTCACAAAGTTGTTGAGTTATAGAAGAAACATTGCCACGGACGGGACTCGAACTTGTGTGGTGTTAGCCAGCACCGTGTTCTTTTCTTCTTACACTACCAGAACTCGGCTTGTCTATGCGATATACAAACCATATATGTCTGTTTGTCTGCTTCTCTGTTTATCAGTCTGTTTGTGGGCAATGTCATTGTGAAGTTTACGAAACGTTCCTCCATACTCAATGTAGGTGATGTAGGAAATGTTTCAGACCAAAGGTATTTGTTGTCAATGAAGCAATGGCTCTCATGAACCGAATGAAGTCCTAAGAGGAAGAGAAAAACATATTTCTGCTCTGATGCTGCATGATTACATTTGTCATCGATAATGCTCGCGAGACAAGTGGAACTGATGGCTATCATTNCATAAAAGCTGAAAAAGGACGAAAAGCAATTTGCTTAAAAAGCCACAGCATTAGTCGTATATAAGTATGTAATGCTACAACAGTATAAATACTGTGTGACAACAACTCCCGCCCCATGCAACCATGAAAGGTCTTCTTTTAGTTCTTGTAGTTATAACAGTTATCGAGGTGAGTTCGTGGATCTACTTTTTACCTGAACATTCAGCTCAGCTGTCCCTTCAGCGGAATTGGTGTAGTGGCAAGTGGCGCACAATCTCACGATCATGGTGCATGATCACTGGTTCAAACCCCTGATCATTATTCACTTAGTTCAAGCCAATTCAGCCTTCCATCAATTCGACGTCAGCTAAAAGGTGCCTGATTCTTCTTGGAGGATGAAAGCAGTGACTTGTACGTCGGCTGGCCACCGCAAGTCATTTTATAGGCTACATAAGCATTCAATATGCCACTACGGTTCTGAATTTAAATTGATGTGGGGGCGCATCCCTTAGACAGGTTTAATTAACGCCAAAAGATTTTATCCTTATCCTTTTATCCTCGGCGATTAACAAGAGTTGAGCAAAGGATGAGTTTATTGATTAATTAATTAATTAATTAATTCATTTATTCATTTGTTTATTGAGTCGATTCTGTGAAGATAACAAGGAACTCTTTTGAGGCTCAACAAATAATTGAAACAATGAGACCGAATGAAGAACCTACTACCGAACCAACGTACCCGACTACCACTGAAAGAACAACGGTCAAACCNCTCGCGAGACAAGTGGAACTGATGGCTATCATTAAAAGTCATTCATAAAAGCTGAAAAAGGACGAAAAGCAATTTGCTTAA